GTCACACTCCTTCCCCTCCCTCAACCTCCTCCAGGGCACCCGGTTAGTGTGGACACCAGGCCCTAATGCCAGTGCAGGCTGCTCTCTCATCACAGTCCCATTACTCACTGCATGGCCCTCAGCAGAGCAGCTGGGTTGGGTGGGAAGGATTGGGGAGAGGAAGGTAGAGGGCAATGCCATTTAAGGTCTGGGCGACGCGTGGGTTTATGCTTCGCCTTTAAGTCCCCACACCAGATCCCAGGTACAATCAGTTCACACTTCCTCCAGATGTGCTCACCACTGGGTAACGTTTATCCCCTTCCCATGTTCAGACCCCAGGTTCACTCCCCAGCTCTGCCCCCTTCCTGCTCCAATGCCACTGGATCTCGCTGGACTCACCCATGAACTTGGCATATGGCGTGTAGAGAGCTTGTAGTCCAGCCGGATCCAGGACCACCCCAGGCCCCTGATGGACCCACAGCCGGGAAAGCCCCGAATGAGTCTGTGACGTCCTCCTGCAGCCTCTGATCTTTCCGTCAATACTCACAGCCACATCCTCAGGGACCTTCAGATGCGAGTCACCCCCGTCCTCTCTGCCCTGCACTTGCTGTGTCCTCAGAAGACACAACACTCCTCCCTCCCCTCCACCTTCCTCACGGTCCTCCACGCGGGACTGAGCTGCAGGACGGGACAGGCGCCCTCCCCAGGCTGTGGTGTGTGTGTGAGGAGGCGGTGAGGGCCTGGGGGACTCGAACTCACCTCAGCCCGTCTCTTCAGCGGGGGCGCCGCCATTGCCCTCTGTGGCCTGAGCCGGGCGAGAGCGACGGGAGTAGAAGCCGCCACAGGAATGGCGGTCCCTGTCCCGGCCCTGGCGTGGGTCCGGGCGGTGACTCCGAGCTTCAATCCCACGTGTGAGCTGTGAGGACCACCGGGGGCTCCGACCATGGGCTGTGAGGCGGGGAGCTCCACTCTCCGGCCTTCTCCACGGGACTGTGCGACCAGGAAATCCTAAGCGACTGAGAAGCCCGAAAAGACAAAATCTCGCCAGGAGAACTATAGTCCCGCCCTTCAGAATCGGCCAAAGGGAAATGCCTTCTCTGAGCCCCCATTGGCTCAGCCTGGTGGCATGCCATGCGTGGCCTTGTGGGTAATGTAGTTTTCCTGCTCCAAATTCAGGAGCCGGTATTTCTCAGTTGACCAAAGGACTGGATTTAGGGGCAAACAGCCCAAAATACACCAAGTACAGCAAAGGTCCTCTAGCGCCTTCAGGGGAGGTGATGTCTGGGGCAAGTTTCTTTTTCAGGCACCTGCGTGGCAGGTTTTGCATATCTTTCTTAGGGACCTGCTCTTTCTGTTTGTTCATTCATGACTTTTGGCATGTATCTCCTTCAGCTCATTTGTAGCAGGGGGAGGGGACTCAGCCCCTCACA